CAAGGACCATGTCCTGCACCGCTGCAGGAAAGTACCGTCAGGGTACGATGGGACGGGCGCTTTAGACCATTCCGGGCATGGCAGAGTCCGAATAGTGTTGTAGGCGCCGCCTTCAGCCCTCGGGCACGGAACCTGACATAAACATACGGCAACCACTACGGTCCAAGAAGAGACTCGTGTCCTCTACAGTGACGAACGTGCAGTCACCGCGCCGTCCGCTCCCCATAGGGCTATAGGTCAACACCCTTGTCCGACATGCCGCCCGAGGGGACGGGACAGGACGGGACGTGACCACTTGCTGACACAGGCGAATGTGCCAATCCCTGACACCGTCTGGCTATGTCAGCGAAGCTGGCTCAGAGGAAAAGGAAGACCCGGCGCCTTCGGAATGGCTTCTTGGCCTCTGGGTTTTCCCCTTTCTCCGATATGTAACCCCTATCTTCCCTTGGTCTATAAAAGGGAAGGCAGGGCACCCTGCTAAGGGGACGGATCAACTCATAGAGAGATCGATCAATACAATTCGACAACACACATCACACACAGCTGAGCAGCGACTAAGCTCTCGACGACCTTTCGACCATTCCATCAGAGACTTGGGACCCATCCCTCTCTCGACCGTTTGTACCCCTACTACGAACCTTTTTCGGTACTAATAACACGAACAGCAGCAGACTGGACGTAGGGACATTCAGCCCGAACCAGTATAAACCTCATGTCCTTTAGTGCACCATCCGGGCCTAACGCGCAATAATTATAAATTGACTAGCCGGTGTTTGTTCGAAACACCGACACGTATACTTCTGACCGGACACGTCAAGGCTGAGTTCGGTCACCAACGCGTCTCTACACAAACTGATCGGACTCCCTTTTCTCCTATGACCGAAGTCGACTCTTCTAGAGTCGGGTCACTTCCAGAGAGGTTCCATAGAACTCTTTTGATGATCGGACTCTCCGTGCGTTCGATCGCACTTGGACGCGTTAAAAACACTGACCGGACTCTCGACCGGACTCGTAGGCACTGAACGGACGCGTTCGGTCACAAAGTCCGGTCACAGACCTTTCAGCGCTAAAACGGCAATAACGTTTAGGTTCGAACTCTGATTTCGATGATCTTGAACATTTTAGAAAGCTTATTCAGAGAGCTACACAACCCATGTGCATATTTGATCCAAAGCACAATGGATCAATGCAGAATTCTAAATTAAGAACCATCCTATATTTCGGAGTACACCGAAAAACCTCTCTCTTCTTCAAGTTGATCCAATTCAACTCCAACAATTTCTCCTTTACAAATGTGCCAATACCACTAAGTATACACCACCAAGTGCAAGTGTGTTAGCATTTTCATAAATATTTTTTTAAGGATTAGTCACTCAATTCACCACGCCACTCGATCCTAGCAACGTCGCAAAGTTAGATCGCTCAAGTGGCACTAGATGACCGATATGCAAACAAGTTTGCCCCTCTTGATAGTATGACCATCAACTTCTCTACACATCTATGACCGGTGAAAAAAAATATCCTATGTTATACTTTTGCCTTGCGTATTCCATTCTATCTCCTCCACTGTTGATGTAATACATGGACCAACCAATCACCAAATGATATGATCCACTTCATATCATTACGTGACCGTATTGATTCATTGATCCTGATTTCACTTGTTCTTCACCGTTGCTTCGGTCCATCGGCGCTAAGTCATCACTCAACTTGCCCTTCACACTTGTAACCGATCCATCGAGCCAAGTCTTGTCTTGATTTTCTCCACCTTATCACATGACTCCATGTCATGTCTCATATGCAATGAGCTTTCATCACATGTATGAGCTTTGCAACATCTCCATGTCATTTTACCTTCATGGCAAAGGTTGCTCACATATAATATACCTATAGACTAATCACTTGTGTATCTCACATTAAACACAATTAGTCCATCTAGGTTGTCACTTAATTATTAAAAACAAATAAGAACCTTTCATAATTACTACGATGTAGAGGGTCTAGATTTTGAAAGAATAAATATATTTATAATAAACTTCGAAAAAAGGGTAAAAACAAAAAAAAAAATCGGGCAGACACGCACCTACCAGTCCCTTGCCCACGTCGCGCGTTACTATTGCCACGTTGAACTTGAAGGTTCACGAGAGGGAGGGAAATACGTACAAGTTACATATGCGCTGCCTCTTCTACTTTTCTTCTGTCTCCTTTTAGGTTTGCGTTTAAAATTTTCTCTGGAAAGACTGTGTCTTTGCCCACAATCTTTTTCACGGGGAATAGTGTTGTTGTTGCCTTTGCAAGCATTTGTTGGAATTTAAACTTTTTGTCCCCTTGTCCTAAAACAAGTTTTCATTTTACATTTCGATGAGTCAAATAATCTCAACTTTAACTAAATATATATAAAAAAACTAATATTTATTACACGGATAAACATTATTAGTATGCTATATATTCTTATAGTGAGGATACAAATGTTGATACTATTTTCTATAAATCTAATTAATGTTGAGATTGGTTAACTCCTCGAGATACAACAGATGTAGTGTGAAGTTTGAAAAGCAATATTAAGAATTTTATTTTTTTCATCAAAACATAATTGTAGGAGTATTCCTGTGTGTCGCGACGAGTGTGGGAACTATGGTTCATCTTTCACTTTTCTCTAACCAGAATAAGTGTACATAATACATACTCAGTCCCGAAAAGACCGTTGTTCTAGGACGAGCGGTAAAACCAAGGTAGCTACCAAATGACAAAAATGCCCATATTAATGACAATCTGCCATTGCAGCTCAGTTCTGTAATTATAACTGCGCTAGAGGCAGAGGATAAGATGCTGGGAATTTTGCGACGAAACATGTGGAGGAGTGAGCATCCACGTGTCTGCATGCAAGACTTTTGTTTTTTTAAATATGTCGGGTACCCTATCATGCTAGTTTTAGAGTGTGTTTGGTTATTTAGTCGCTCATAAAAGTTCATGTCACATTAAATATTTAGATACTAATAAAGAGTATTAAATATAGATTAATTACAAAACAAATTACATAGATGGAGGCTAATTTGCGAGACGATTTTTTAAATCTAATTAATCTATCATTAGCACATGTTTACTGTAGCACCACGTTGTCAAATCATGAATTAATTAGGCTTAAAAGATTCATCTCACAAATTAGTCGTAAGTTATGCAATTAGTTTCGTAATTAATCTATATTTAATACTCCATACATGTATCAAACATTCGATATGACATGAATTTTAGGAGCGTCTAAACAACCAGCAGCGCCTTACCATTCTGAAACGACGGTTTTTTCGGGTTTTTCTTTCAAATGCTAGAACGACTGTCTTTCGCGGTACATATTTAAATTGAATCACTCTTCTATCATCTTTATGTAGAATTATTTTTTATTACACAGCATTTATTATAGGACTTCAAGTTTATTTAATGTTGGACAAGTCTAATTAGCTAGCTAATTGTGTATCGGTACAAGTACTGAGTAACAAATTGTAGGTTCGGCTGGAAAATATGGGTGGGTGTATATACGTGTTTATGTTCGTTTATACAGTAAGGGTAGATCCAGTGTTGGAGGCTCCCACATAAATGGAGTCTGGGAAAAAAAAACCGAGATAAGCCTTTTTCCGTAAATTTGCACAGAGACTACTTCGAACCCACGACCTGGTGACTCAGTGAGACAACTCTTACCACTGCACTAGACATGCCCTTCATGTTCGTTTATACAGTGTTTGAAAAAAAATGTCTTTGTTTATACTTGAACTTACAAAAAAGAATGAACGAGTTTCAAAAAAAAATGAACGCACCGCCCAATCTAGTAACGCGGATGCAGTAAAATTTCGTACGCTCTGTTTACCACCCACCCCCTCTCCCTCTCTCCCCGGCTCCCCCGCCCGCCGCCGTAAATTTTTCCCTCCATTTATTTTCTCTCTGTATATATTTCTTTTGACCCCCGCATCTTTTCCGCCAGACCGCCACCACTCCTCTCCTCTTCTTCGCAACCCCAACCCCCAAAACGAAGAAGCCCCAGCTCGAAAACGAAGGCGCCAAACCATTCCCCAAACGCGCCCCGCGCCCGCGCCCGCCCGCCCAGCTCCGCCCCCGCCCGCCATTCCGCCGCCGTCGGGGTCACTCCCCCCGCGCCGGCTGAGTCCCTCCCGCGCGGACGCCACGCCGCCCCCGGGCGGCGTAGACGGTCGGTTCCCGGCCTCGCGGAGGCTCCTCCCCGTGTCGAATCGAGGTATTTGTCGGTGAGATCCGCGAACCCTAGCGCGCTCCTTGTTTCTCCGTTCTGTTTGTTGCGGGTGGATCGTACTGCGCCAAGGGGGGCATCGCTGCCCGTGGGAGATGGCGCTGTCGGTGCCCTCCGCGGCGGTGGCGTGGGCTAGCTGGGCCAGATAGGAATCGGGGATTGGATTCTGGGGGGCGAGTCGAGGAGCGGGTGCTTCGGCGTAATACGCCGGTGCTGGGGATACACTGGTGTGGGGAACGAGAGAGTTTGGGATTGGTGGGGTTTCTGCGTTCACAGATTTCGGGCAGCTGCTGCTTTGCCCATTTTGTGAGGTTAGGGTCCAGGGTTGCTTTTGGACTCGTTCACCTTGCGCTTGTTCATGTCCCACAAGTGCTGGGCGGCTTAGGGTGACCCGTGATGGTGTTGCATTGATGCGCTGCGCTTGATGTGGGTAACAAAAGAGCAAGTTTCGACGTGCTGCCCTGATGCAGCGGGTTTCCCATTTTCTGCTGGAATCATTTCTAGCTTAGATTTTACATTAAATCGCCTTTCCCATTGGTCCAAGAACACGGTGCTAGTCCTATCACTATGTGTCTATGTTACACTCTTGTAATTGTTCCTTATTGCTCATTTTTGCCTGGAGCTGTTGGCAGATCGCATTACTAATCAGCTTATTTGCAGTGTTCTAGATTTTTCCATGCAAGAGCTTTACGGGAGAAATGAAAGTTGTGCTTTGTTTTCGTGTGCAGGCAGGATCCTAGGCCAAATGCCTCTCTTTAATAAGAAACCTTTCTCCTTACTGGAGCCCCCTAAGGACTTGGATTCAAAGGAGGTGTTCCAAATTCGATTCACAAAGGAGATATTCCGAGATTATGAGTATCCTTTTCTGTATGATGCTGTTGCAGTCAAATTTGCTGTTATTTGTCCTGGAGCATTTTTTTTGCCAATGGCTGCGCAAGATTTTTGTGCCTTTTGCATTTGCAGGGAAGTAATTTAGCAATGCAAGTTCTGAAGCTTGTATCCTTAACAACAAATCAGAGAATACCTAAAGAGACTAAACCTTTATCGCCAAAGAGTTTGGACATGTAAGATATCTGGAAAATCTAATTTAACTTTTGAAGAAGCTTTGATATCTGAGCATAAAGCGATGGAGAAGGCTCAAAATTTGCCAACTGAGCTAATGGCTCATGTTCTTCGGATGACTCAATACAGTAAGTACTTTTAAAAAAAAAATCATGTACCACATGTGTTGTGGTTCTGGATGGTACACTTCCATTCATATGTTCTTGTTTCAGTAGTAACATTTGTCTTTGTAATGTGGACTGTATTCTGTGCTGATATAGTTGTGTTGCAAAAATAATTATTTTCATTTAAGTATCATATGTAGCTTCAAATTATATGCTTGGAAGCTGGAAATCACATGTGAAGTATTGCAAGTAGATTTAAGGTTCAGATAGTGTCGTGCAATAGTAAACTATATTTGCTCCTGCTACTCTGTTATTCTGTAAGCACAATGGACTGCTTGCCAATTACAGCCAATTACAAAACATCTATGTTACAGCAGCAATCAGAATGCTATTGTATTTCATGCGAACTTTTGTTTCAGGCACTCTTGGTTTACATGAACTTATCGATAAGATATATGCCAGTCTGCTGGAAGAAGTATTTGAAGGAATAGAATTACATGCTAATAAGGATGGTGCTGTGGCACCTTGCAAGATTTTGAAGATTTTAGATTCTGGTGGCACAAAGATGTGTGAAGTTGGTTGGATTCGGCAGGGTAAGGCTGTGACCAACACATCAGTAATCAAAGCTGCAGATCTGTTTTACCGGAGGGCACCTGTTAGCAGGAATACACTGAAGATTTTTATTAGAGATGCTACATCACAAAGTAATCCATGGGTTATCCATGAGAATCTCGCCAAAAAATTTGGCATATCTATGGACCCCCCAGACAGCGTAATGGTGAGTATCCCACACTTATTTATTTTGTTTCTCATGTATGTTACAAATCTGTAGCACTAAACTACCTTTCTTTCTCTATTGTAATGACTATTTGCAGAAGAAAGGGAGAAAAAGACAGGGGAATGGAACCATTGAAGATGGGAGGAAAAAGCTCAAAACAGGTGATTCAACTGAACCTGAACCACTTGTAGTGAACTAGCGATGGTTTTGTTCATTCTTACAAGCTTCTAATCATTGATCCCTATATGATTTCCAGATGAAGAACAGTCATATGTAATGATTAAGTATCCAATAGATGATCTGCTAGTAAGGCCCAATGCAGATGATCTGGCTTTATTTAAGAGGCCTCCTCTGGCTACAGATTTTAGAGTACCAAGATGTTCTGTGGGAGATCTCCTTATGGTATGGGACTTCTGCTCGTCTTTTGGGAGGGCTCTGAATCTGTCCCCATTTCCGCTAACAGATCTGGAGAATGCAATTTGCCACAAAGAAAGCAATGTTCTTCTCGTGGAAATACATGCAGCTATGTTTCACTTGCTTATGAAGGATGAAGGTGACTATTTCACTGTTCTGCAGAACAAGAAGCGGAAGTTAAAGGTTCTCCCTTAATACTATTAAGATCGATGGCCCTCCTTTATTGAGTGTACATTTCATCCTTTTTTTTCTGTGCATCCATTGCAGGTAAGTTCAGTAACATGGGCTGAGTATCTATGTGATTTCTTGGAAATGACAAAAAATGAAGAACTATCCACTAACATTGCAACAGTAAGAAGGGGTTATTATGGTCTTATTGACACTGATATAAAGCTTAAGATCCTCCGGGAACTAGTGGAAGAAGCTATTCAAACCTCTGCCATAAGGGAGATACTAAGCGACCGTGTGGACCAGAAACAAGTCCTCAATGCAACAAAAAGAGAGAACACCAGAAAGGACAAACAAGAGCAAAATATGAACACTGAAATTGCTATGAAAAAGGAGGAGAATCAGACAGATGCTGTGCAAGGTGGCCATGAGGGTGTAGATGAGCTGGTTAGGGGAAAAGAAAATGACAAGAGCAATATTTCTCGGAGTAGGACAGAAGGGAAACGACACCTGGTGAGCACCTGACTCAAGTGTATTTGCATTTGCAGATGCACCAATATATGTATTCTAGTCATGTTCGGTTGTATGTGACAATGTTTGGTATTGAGCCTTACTGTTTTGCTCAATTTATTGGATTTTGAATGTTTTGAAGGTACGACACCTTGAGACGGAGATAGAGAAATTATCCATCCGTTCCAGCCCTCTTGGTAAAGACAGGCAGTACAAGAGGTACTGTTTTTTCAAGCGTGAAGGAAGGCTTTTTGTGGAAACTACAGATTCCAGAGAATGGGGTTACTACAGCACTAAGGAAGAGGTGACTGATGATCTGGTTGTAAATCTCTATTTTCACCATCTGTGGCTGCTCAAATAAGTTTTCTTTTTAAATGACAGCTTGATGCGCTCATGGGCTCATTGAATGTGAAAGGTATAAGGGAGAGAGCTTTGAAACGGCAACTAGAGAAGTTCTATAGTAAGATAAGGTATGTTGATCTCCGCTAACCATAGTTTTGGCCTGTATTGGACTTTGGTTTTGACTGCTGTTGATCATATCAAGTATGTTAACACTATACTTGTTGATATGAATATCATTATTTTTGCCTTTATAACCCCCATATTGTGGTTCATTAGAGAAGGCTTTCGTGACCTGTGATGTTTTGGTAATCAGGCACTTTTACTTGTAGGCTTATAGGGTGTTTGGTTTTAGGAATCACTCCATCCTACGAGGTGGTGCATCACGAGTCCATTCCTCAAATTTTGATGGAATGACTCCATTTCTCGTACTAGTACTAATTATTAGCTTGAGAAATGAGGTGATGATGCATCATTGCATCAACCTATTCTATTCCACGAACCAAACAAAAAAAAGTGAGGAATGATTAGACGATGGGTTAACTCATTCCTTAAACCAAACACCCTATTAGTTCTTCAGCTCAGAAAGCACTTAGTTTTCTCTTGATACCTGAAGAACTCACCCTTGTACTCTTATTTGTTCAGTTTTATTTTCTGGTCATAATTTTCACCACTGCTGATCCTGTAGTCTGTACTGTATTCCATACATGACGTGATGCTAACCTTGTAGCAGCCTGTTCGGTTGGCTGGTTCGTATCGTTGCTGGTTTGTTTATGTGAGAGAGAAGTACTGCTGGCTGGTTCATGTGAATAGTATCCATGTGAGGGGTTGGCCAGCCAGCCCAGCCAGCCAGCCCCAGCCGATCGGGCTGTCTAGACTCATTTCACAACTGCAATATTCATTCTTGACATGCCCAATATCACAGCGATAGTATTTCAAAAAGTTTCATTAAGTGCCAACTGCCGACTAATTCTTCTCACGTTCCATGTTACAGTAATGCCCTAGAGAAACGATCAAAAGATATCGCAAACAAGATGTTGCTTGAAGAGGGTGTGCTGCGCCGTTCCACACGTGTCCGGGCTAACCCAAAGGACAACCCGTCCATGGCATTCCTCAAGTATGTCAACAAGTGGAAGGATAACTGATGTACTCTGAGATGGCGGCCAGTCTGCCAGCGGTGGGAGGATAACTGAGCCACTGGGTGACTGGATTTGCAGTAGTAAGTTATTCAGGCTTTTGCTTGGTTAGGGACTTATGTCGTCGGAGTGGCTCGCCATACTCATGGCTGGTTTATTGACACCTTAGTAGCTAGTGAAACCTGTATCAGAACCCGGTTTTCTTCCTTTTCTTTCCCCCCTTTGCTTTTCATGTGTCGAACACTGGTTTTCAAATGAAAACCCTTTGCTACTTAACTGAACTGCGTCAGGCTTTACCTTTTTTAGAACAGTTACCAATCTTTTGCATGAATGATGTAAACGTGATGAGGCCGGCGTGGAGATGCTTCGATTTGCAAGGGTGGGCCGCGGGCCAATGTTGCTGTTACCGTGTTCGTTAGTTGAGTAAAGCAGCTGCTTTCCCTCGGAAAGAGAGAGAGAGTAAAGCAGCGGTTTTTTTTTTTTTATGCCTCAACTCTTCGAGTACAAACACATCAACTCACGCCACGGAGAAAAACCCCTGGGTGTGCGAGACCGGAAATTCTGCTCCCCGGAGGGATCGAACTCCGGCCGGCAAGCACCAGCAGCTGGGTACTTGCCACTCGAGCTAGGCTCGGTCCGCGCTCCCAGCTGTCTCTGTCTGAATTTCAGACTTTCAGTTTTGCTGCGATTTTCAGGAAAAGGTATCTGTTTATACGTTTGCTGTGCGGTTCAGGAAGGCCCAAAGGTCGCGCCGCCTGGTTCGCTGGACGGGTCTCGCCCAAGGCCCAAGGGACACCGTCCAACGATTTCTGCAGCAGCCAGCGCGGCAACGTGGACGGACTGGCGACCACAGACAACAGACTGAAGAAGCACTGGAAAGATACTTGCTCACGACGCTTACGGCTAACGGCTTACACACAAAAGAGGGCGTCTGGTGGTCTGGAACTCTGGATGACTCAATTCTCTTGTGTTCTTTGTTTCCCTGCCAAGACCCAAGAGGAAAGGAGGAGCAAGTAGAGATGGCGTGCCCTGCGCAGTCCATGCTCTCCGCCAGCGGCTGCATCTTCCTGAGGAGCAAGCCTCAGGCGGCCGCGGCCTCCCATGTGCGTGGGGGCATCATCATCGGCGGTGGCTGCAGCAGCAGGCCGTTCCTGCTCACCTGCAACGCTTCCTCGCCGCCGGCGCCGACGCAGGAGGACCCCGACTGCAACGAGGAGGAGTGCGCCCCGGAGAAGGAGGTACTGCTCCTCCTCTTTCCTTCACTTGTCTTGGACTTCGCGTGCCTGCCTCGTTGCGCTTGCGCAGCAGTAGATCTAGACAGTACTGTAGATGCTTACGCATGCACAGCAAAGCCTGGGATTGACGAAAGCAGCAACGAGAATGATGAGATGCCAATGCCATTTCTGTGGTGGCTGCGTGTGCATGCAGGTCGGGAGCCTGAGCGCCGAGTGGCTGGCCGAGGAGAGGACCCAGGTCGTCGGCACTTTCCCTCCCAAGAAGAGAAAGTGGGGCTACGTCGAGAAGGACACCGCCGGCCAGACCAACATCTACTCCGTCGAGGTAATTAATTCGCGCTCTTCTTACATTCACTCAAACGCTCTAGCCTTGGGTACCTTCCGTACAAATTTTGCCACCGCTGGTATCCGACCTCTAGAAACCTCAATAACTCCTGCAACAGCCGATGGTGTACGTGGCCGAGAGCGCCATCAGCTCCGGCACGTCGGGCACGTCGGCGGATGGCGCCGAGAACACGGCCGCCATCGCCGCGGGGCTCGTCCTCATCACCGTCGCCGCGGCCTCGTCCATCCTCATCCAGGTGAACAAGAGCCAGCCTCCGGTGCCGCCGGAAGCCGCCTACAACGGCCCGCCGCTCAGCTACTACGTCGCCAAGTTCCAGCCGGCGGTGGCGCAGACCCTCGAGGCCCCCGCCCCCGCCGAGGCGATAGAGGCAGCAGCACCAGAGGCGACGTCCACCGTCGAGGCCTCCGCGGCTCTGGAGGCACAGCAGCTGTCGTCGTGAGCTGATCCTGAGCTGATTCGGTTTTGTGGCAGCTTACAGATGAGCCTGTAGTGCATGATGATGGAAGATATGTATACATTTTTTTTTTTGAATGAGAAAGATATGTATACATGATACACATGAGAGCATTTCGGAATTGTATTAAGTTTCGTGCATATATATACATGCATTCAGCTCGCCTGTGCTGTATGCTTATTTGAACTCAAACATCAGCACTTCCACAAACCATTCAGTTGTAACACGGTGAACATACCATTTTCACACATAGACACATCCTGTAACACGCTGTCCAGAACCTTGACGGGCATGAGCAACGCTATATATCCGCGGTAGCAGAACCGTTCACAATCACAACAACTGCGTACCATGGGCCATGGACCTGCTCTGACACCATTGCTGCTTTGATAAGCACTTCAGCTGCCTTCACTAGCCGTGCAGTGAGATTTGTTGCCCCGATGCGCCTCAGGGATGCATCGGTGAGCTTCCGGCCCTTCTCCCCACTGCCGCACAGAGTGATTGCACGGAATGCACAGTAGACAGACTGAGAGACCTTCTTGAAGATGGTGTCATCGGTCTGGAGGCTTTTAAGGAAGACCCTAGTCAGCATCTCCTTCCTACTATCCATCATATCATGATCTGACAACGAGCTCCTTGAGGTCGATGAATACATCATGGCCTCAATGATTTTCTCAGTGCCAACATCTGGAAAGTTGTCTAGTAGCCTTGTGAGGACGTTGAACAGTTCCAAAGCCGCACTCTCCAGCTCAGGAGGAGTGATCTTTGGGTTCTCGCTCACTAAGACCTGATTCAAGACAAGCATGCTGCAAACAAAAGAAAAATAAGGAAATTGGGTTCAGTCCTTCCATTCTAGCATATTACAATGGTACAACAACAACATGATAAAGAAACATGGAACAATCAGATAATCATTTTCACCTTGTCGCTATCACAATCACTTGTTGAAATTTACTCTGAACAGACCGCAGCCTCAACCAATTGAGCATAAAGGTCTCAGGAACTGATTCCCTTTGTACACCCTCCATGCTGCTGATGAGCTGTAATAACCCAATCCTTATTAGCTTGCCAAGTATTTCTCCCCTACATTCTGGTAGTCCTGCATTGTCTGATTCACAATATGCAACATCAGCCATGAATACAGGTAAATAGCAACCTGTGGTGAAAGGAGGGAAACAAAGAAAATACCTGCTGCAGGTATCACAGATTGTAGCTGACCTGGAACTGCATGGCCAGTTCGGAGGGTGGCAACAAGTGGCTGAACCTGTTATACAGTTGGGAACTCTCAGAAGTTCTATGTGTAATCAGAACTACAGAAGAAAATGATAGGCACAAACTACAAAGTAAATAAGCTGTTGCTAAAAAACATAGATAAACATGGCATTGTCACCCAGCCCGCAGGTCAAGTTCAAAGATGAGGATTGATTGGGGCCAAAGGCTTGACATTTCTGACCATTGCTGAGGATTGATTGATTTTAAGTGCTCTCATTGGTTGTTCTGAAATAGGGTGTGGCGTGTATGAAACTAGGTATGATATATGTGTCCATGTGTTTGTGTCTATGTGCATTTGTTTCTTAATGCAATGATGCACAGCTCTCCTTCGAGAAAAGAAAAGAAAAAAACAAGGCCAAATGAAGCACTAACATGGTCTGCTTCTGGCAGAATTGATAACGAGCTGACATGTTCATTCCATTGTTCTTCCACAACATCTTTCAAGGAGGAAATCCACCGGGCAGTTGAAGGGAGAGAAGCTAATGCATCAGAAGGGGAACCATAGCGATCAGCAAAAGACTTCTGCAGGTACTCCACTCCACCTGGTCCCTTAATCATTGGTTCCAATAGTTGGATGCGTGCTCTACTGACTTCTGCTTTTAGAGCCTGTTTCAGTAAGGAAATTTATTCATGAGGAAATATTGTAAGTTCACATATTGCTCATCAATTTATTTGAAAACAGACTCATATAGTAAGGAGTTAAGGACCTCTAATTCCTCCATAGTGAAGCGCAAACCCTTGATAACACAAAGAACAAATGAATTTGAATCTCTATAATTAGATTCAGAGCCTTCGATCAATTCTCCCAACAATTTATCATGACTCTTCTTCATCTCGAGTTCCTTCGCAGGAGAAGACAGTTTTTGCAGCTTATCCAGAGAGTACTGCAAAATTTGTCCAAGGTATTGTCTGTCCTGGGAACCTGATTCAAGTAACTTTCCGCCAAAACAATATATATTTGTCTCAAATATGTATTGCGGTTCACCATAATCCACAATACTAACTGAAATATTCTTACCTGAGTCAAAATTTCAAGGTTAATATTGTCATTGATTTCTTCTTTCCACGCTGCAGGAGCTAACTCTTCTAATGCTTCCCTGATTTCCTTTACCAGGCTGACCAGATAACCGTAGTCTGGCATGTCTCCTCTCATTGAATTCGCAACCATATCCCAGAAAGCTTTCTCCATTGTTTCCTTGACTTTTATCTGATAACAAAAAAGATAGGAAATATAAAATTACACAAGAGAATCACCTCATACACCCTGAATTCAGATATGTTAATTTCCCAAAAAGATCATCAAAACTGATAAAAATACCTTTGATGACATACGTTGCAAATTTTATATTATTTGCGCTGCTGAATTTTACAATAAGATTGGAGCTAACCTTGAAATCACCTTCAACGGTACCAGTACCATCAGAGATGTCAGCAAAAGAACCATGTATATCATGGAGTATCTCATTGACTATTTGCTCATTTTCAGTAGGCATTTTTTCTGGTGCTGCATTACTCATCAGCTTGCCTCCTTTGCTACTTTCATATCCTGAAGAGGAAGCTCCAAACAGAGATTTGACAACTCGGCTTGTCTTTTCGGCATCCATGTTACAATTCTCCTCAGTTTCAGAAACATTAGACTGTCCTGAAGAACATGTAACTGAAGGAGATGCTACATTTGCAGTAGTTGCAACAGAACTCCTGTTCTCCTTTGCTTGAAAGAACTTTGACCGTGTTTCAGATAAAGCAGATTCCATCCTTCCAATACCAGCTTCACTGCCCAGGTGTTGAATCCTCTCCCTTAAAAGTTTCTGGTCTTCTGCAACCTGGATGAGGAACAAAAACTTAATTCAAAAGATAGTTTGCTATTGAAGATGTCAATAAGAGGGGATAAAGATTAATGGACGAAGTGTTAAATTTTAGCTTGATCCTTGTATTTTAATAATAGATGAATCAATGCACCTCAAGGCTGATTGCAAAAAATGAACAAGAAAGAATAGGAACTGAATATACAAATCATACCTGTTTCCGGATGGCTTTCAAATCACCACCGAGGTTATCAGATTCACCTTCATTAGTTATTTTGCATGTTTGGATCATTGACAGCTCAAGCTTGCATGCAGCCCTAATGAGATCATCCTCTAATGATTTAGCATCTTTTGCTTTCCATGCCACAAAATGGTAAAGATAAGCACACCAAGCTTTGTCAAAGGCAACCAGCTGAGTTCTGAATTTCTTCAGATCAGCAACAATAGATGAAGATTCCTCATAGCTAGAACAACCAGGAGTGGCATCATCTAGAACTGACGGACTCAATATGCATGCACCATCTAGAGCATCAAGTACTGTTTTAACCAGCAGTTCAAATTCCTTCACAAAGATTGTTGCTGATTCCATAAGCAATTTCTCTTGCTCACCTTGTCCACTAAGAACAGATTTTGGATGACCTAGTATCATATAAGCACAAAGTGCAATCCTTTGCGAATATCTAGACAGCTTACTGGAGTCATAATTTCCAACTGCCTTTTTCAGTGTTGCTTTACTTCTTCCCACATTGCTCGGTAGGAACCTCCTCTTCGGTGATCCTAGATGCTTTAGAAGGTGGTTAATATTTTCTGGTTCTGATAAACTTGATGACTGAGAGAAGGCAAAACGACTCTCCAGACGGTCAAGCAATGCCTTAGTGGTCTGAAGTACTGCAGGAGATTCAATGCAGAGAGCTAATTCTTCAAATGGCATAGACACAACTGATCGCTGATTTATCCCCAGTGCATCAAAGGCCCTAGCCAATACCACTGTTGTTTTCCTAGTAGTTCTGAATCTTCTCCAGCATCTAAAGTCCCAAAAAATGAAATGAATTATAAGCTGCAGATGGAAGCCAAAGAATTAGTTGGAAATTGCAGAATGTGCTATGAGACGTACTTTGCCAGTTTTCTTGAAAGAAATTCTCCATTTTTAACTGAACTGCTGTGCATAGAACTGTGAGGATTTCCTCGCTGCTTCAAATACTCAGCCCTCTGCTGCTTTGCCTATTTTGACATATATATAGATGGTTATGACGCAAGTTAAAGAGCTAAAATAATTACATCAATGCTGCATCACAGAAATGCATACCTTCTGAAGCTTTTCTTCTAATTGCTCTTTTAACTTGCTCCTCTCAGTTTCTCTCTGGTTAGAGGCAGTCTTCGCAGCAAGTTGAACCTGCAAGAGCCTACCCTGTGCCCGTTTTTCCTTAGATTCCAGCAGCCCCAATCGTCTCTTCTCAGCAGCATTACACTTCTGTATTGCAGATCGTACACGCTCCATGTACTTGTTTTCCCAAGTCAGTCTTTGCATAAAGTACCTTTTTGTCCTCTCCTCTAATGCAGCCCGCCTCTGCAAACGAGCATGCAGGAGTTGCATACGATTGTTCTCGGCCTTCTGAACCCGTGATTCAACTTTCATTCCGAGTTCTTCCCTTTCCCTCTCGAACCTCATCTCTGCATCACTCTTAACAGTATGTCGCTGTTTGTCCAGCTTAGCCAACCGGCTCTGTTCCTTTTCCAAGAGGCTCAACCTACAAAGGGTACGAGTTCTTTCAGTCCCTTTTCCCAAATACAACAGAGTAATGTACTCTACTGGGTTCCTCTTTTGGATACCTCTTCTGCTTGGCAGCCACAAGCTTTGCCTCAAGAAGCTGCCCTCGGTCCTCCTCCTGTGATGACCCTGAAGGACTCTTAATTGAGCGCCTTGCTTTGGAGGACAATGCTTCGTGGAATTGCTGGAGAATAGCAAGTCATATAAGATACAGGATATAGCGAAAACTCATTTTACCAGCATAACTCAAATTCTGAGAAAGCTAACTAGCCAAGCATGAGCTTCCTTTGTCCACAGAGTTGCTTCCAGATACATCTCAATTCTCATGTCAATTGTCATGCTGCTCCTGAATGTGGTCAGGTACAGTGTCCTAGACGACTAGTTGCTCCTAAGCTAATGAAGAGTTCACCAATCCACCTAATCCAGTTTTACCTATAAACTAGGAAAATACAGAAATGGGCTTGCAGTAGTGAGTTAACCAAGCGTGAGCTTCCAGAGTCCATAGAATTGGCAAGTAAACGTAACACTCCATTACTCCAAGTCAAGGATGATGCTACACCGGATTTGATCAACTAATACGTGTGGCGTGGTAGACTGCTAATTGCTCCTAAGCTAACGCAGAGTTCAGCATCCACCGACACATTTTGATCTACATATTATTACTGAAACATGTAAAAAAAATCCCCGCTCGCAACTACACCAACAAACACGAAATTCTAACCCTAGTTCGGTTAAATAAATAAACAAAGCACATTAACATCTCGACCAATCAATCCACCGACAAAACCAACAGGGACAAAATGAAGAAGTAATTTCTACGTCACGTGAGGGAGAAGGGAGAACACAAACACACCTGCCTCCGGAGATGCGCCTGGCGTAGCCTGGCCTCGATCTCCTCGGCCGTCGGCGCCTTGCCGCCGTTTTCTCCGCTGCCCCCCGCCCGGAGGAGCCTCCGCCTGATCCTGGGTGGCACCCTGGCCAGCGGCGTCGGCGACCCCTCCTCCACCGCCGGTATCTCCAGCGCCACCGCCTCTGGCACCCCCATTCCGCCGCCCGATCACCGAATCGAACCCAGGCTCCACCCGGAACTCGCCGACTCCGCGCCGTAGCCCCTTCTCTTCTGGGCTGCGACGAACAAGAACAACGACGAAATCTCGAAGGCCGCCACTCGACTCGACTGCCGAGTTCCGAGTGCCGACTCCTGGCTTTCGTGGTTTGGGCCTTGGGGCCGTTGCAGGCGTCGCCCGCCCGGTTCTTCTCGTGACGAGACTTGTTTGGAGCGGAGGGGATCTGAGGGTGCTGGGTGTGTACGGGGTGGGGCGAATGCGATACGGAGGCAACGGGCTGACGGATGCTTCCAACCTTTCCAGGGCTCCGGGAGCGGCGTCTCGGTTCTCGTCGTTGGGTTTGAGATTAGTTAATTTTTAAAAAGTTTAAATATTAACATTTATATCCATAAATAAATTTATATTATAAACATATATCTCATAATTAATCTAACAATATTTATTTGGTATCGTAAATGTTAATAATTTTTCATATAAAATCGGTTAAACTTGAAATTATTTGATTTATCAAAAAATAATAATTACATCTTTTTGGTAGAGGGAGTAAGTATTAGAGGAAAGTAACTGACATATATGATTTGCGGTCAGAGCATGCATGTAACAGAACCGACCAATTATACGAAATTAAGTAAGAAAATCATCCGCTAGAGCAGACGATTTAGCAAACTTAAGCCCGTATAACCCGGTAGTCCGTGAAATCACGAAGGATTTCAAATCAACTTATATCCCAGCCAAGATCGTAGTAAGTTTAGCGGTCACCATCATATATTACATAAAAGTTCGCATCTCAAATACATCAGAGTTTAAAACATAGTTATTATAAAATGAGTTCGAATAAAAGTAGCGGAAACCATTTGTTTAAAACCACACACACTCACACGGAGTTCAAATACAGTGCCAGTTGATGATCATCTCCAACAAAAGCATTAGACGAGACGTACGGAATGACCATGCCCATAGTCCTAAGCATCACCCGTCACAGGATAAAGGCAGTTGATACAGTAGCCGTAATACATCTGCCCATCTGTAATAAGTGGGAATAAAACCCTGAGTACGAGAAGGTACTCAGCTAGACTTACCCGACATAACCGAAAATAAAGTGACACCAAGGATTATGAAGGGCTTTATAGTAGGGTAGCTGACTCATTTGTAAAAAGAGACATTTTTAGCATTTCAAGAACCTTTCCAAAGCATTATTGTCAAGTTAATTATTATTAACCTGTCGTCTACATTTACACCTATACTAGGGCAAGCATGTGATTAAGCAAATAATGATAACCAATGATCATTAACAACTTCCATAATGTCATATCCATTATAACTGTCCAAGTGTTCCATCAACATTACTACGATGAAGTCACTCAAGTCAAGTGCTCACTATCTAGGAGCGATGGCGATTCGAATCGAATCCTAACCAGCTGATGATTTATTCCTTACATAAACCTCACTCACCCGCTAAAGTGAGGTATTGATCACCGAGTCAACTATCCAGGAGTCTCGAGTTTGCCAGGAACCACATGTACCCGGGGGCCGACCGACTGCACTTTGGTCTTATCATCTCGCCCCCGTGTCCTACGACACCTGCTCCGGCACAGTGCGCTGCGGATACCAGGGTAACAAGGATATGGTATAACAAAGATAGACAAGGTATAATGCAGCAACGGTTGCAAACAACTCCTGAACGTAATGCATCAATTAAAGTAAAGCAGTTAATTAATAATTGCAAACCGGGGAGAAAATGCTCCGGGGCTTGCCTCTCTCGAAGGAGCTCAGGCGGTGATCGGGGCACTCCGGAAGTTCCTCAACGTCCTCCTCGTCGGCTTCGGGCACCTCCTGCGGCTACACCTCGAGCTGCTCCTCGGGCTCCTCGGGTATGACGACTGGGTTCTCGGTTTGCGATCCTGTATGATGCAATGTGCGTAAGTGCTTATACAATCAGTGCATCGAATGAGATGAATACAATGGATATGCTTGAATGCAAGGTAGTCAACATCATCCAAAAACATATACTACAAGCACATGTCATCTACTGCCTTCTCTTCTACTACTAATATGCTAAGTCAACACATCTTATTAAATGCTTCAAAGATACACCAAAGCTTCACTAATTTCTTAATCACACATAAAGCAACACTTGATTAAACCCTAATTAATAATAATAGGTTTGAATAGCAACATGTATTTTTATTACTTAGAAAAATCTTAGAAAATTACCATAGCACAGTACTACCCTAAGTAGTCTACCATCATATTTTCATGGCATTTGAATGAGTGGATTAGCCAACACAAAAATAACAAGCTATGGCATGATTATGGACATGAAAATACTTTATACTGTGAAAAGTGTCAAACAACAGAGGAAATATTTTTTCTATATTCTACACAGCAAATAATCACTGTACAAAAATTATCACATGTATGTTTTATAAAAATTTTGCTCTCTAGCAAAATTAACAGAAATCAGCCATTAAAGGCACTTGAACTACACCTCAAAAATTTTATACAGCACATGCATGACACATATTTTTCTTAGGAAGCACATTACATAAGAAGATTAACAAACTTGGAATCATATTTTTCTGAAGCCTATAGGTTTTTCTACACATTTTACAAGATATCAGCAATATCAAGAATTAAATAAAGCTCTACAGAAAAGTATCTCAAAAATAACATGCAATATTTTTATCATGTAGATCTGGTGACAAGGAACCTAGAAAAATTTGTTTCACCATTTTTGGAGCAATATAACTGGAGATATACATTTTACAAGCTTTATAAATCAATTTCTGAAATCATTTTCTTTAATACCGAAATGCCACCGACCCAAAACCGCTAGGTGCACCCGGTGCAGTGCACCCAGAGGGGCTGCCAGGCAGGACCCGTGGTCAAACCGGACCCACGCGTCAGCTGGAGCCAAGGCAGGGCCGTCGTTGACCAGCCGGCTCTCGCCGCCGGTGAGCTTGCTGGCGGTGAGGTCACCACTGTGGGCTCTCCATGATGAGGCGGACCTGATCATGAAGAACGGGCACAGGAGATACTCGAAAGGAAGCTCGGGCGCGCGCGCATGGTGGGTCGGGGCGCTGCTCACCGACGGCCGACCATCTCCCACCCGTAGAAGGGGCGCGAGAGGTGGTGTGGGAGCTTCACCGAGCTCGTCTGTGCGGTGTTAAATCTTGTGCCAAGGAGAGCGAGAAGGAGGACGGAGGGCGAGGTCCACGGAGCGGAGTGCTCCGGCGAGCTCGGCCACAACTCCGACGAGAGATTCCTGTGGAGAGGGAGCTTCTCACGGCTTACCGAGGCGAGCACGAGGTGCGCGAGGAGGAGGCGGAGCTGCGGGCGAGATGGAGGGTTCAACGGCGAGCTAGGACGGCCGGGCGAGCGGGTTCCGGCGAGGCGCGGCGCGCGGTGGCGAGGGCGGGCGTGCGTTGCGGCTATTACTGCTGCTGGGCGAGCGAGAGAGTGGAGCGGGAAGTGAGAAGGACCGCTGCGCGGCCGGGAAGGTGAAGGCACGATAGGAGGCGCTGGCAGTCGGTCGCTGCCAGTGCAGGCGTCGTCCGGCCAAGATGGCGCCACGCCATGCGACGCTGTGGCCAGCGTGTGTGCTGGTGATGGCGGCGGTGGCTGGGAACCAACCAAGCAAGAAAGCGGACAACGGCGCGGAGGCAGGCCGCAGGCTGCTGTCAGGTCAATGGCCGGGCGCAAAAGGAGGCGGCGGCCTAGTAAGGTGAAAAATTATTTTTAAATTTCTATTTTCAAGGAATTTTCAATTATCAGTTTTCATGTACCATTTTGAGCAGGAAAATGACTTCTTTTGAAAATGGCCCAAAAATAAAATTTGCTTAGAATTTAATCCTCTACAACTTTGCTTTAGGGACCAACTAAAAATTTTGCATAGATTTTGAATTGGGAAGCAAAAGCTAAATAGAGAGGATTTTTGACCATTTCCAATAATAATTTCAAAAGCATATTTTGTCAAAAGTTTGAATACAAACTTTGCTCCAAAAATTGTGCTAAATAATTCTAGATGACTTACAATTATAGCCAAACATGTTTTACTAACCTAGCAAGCATAATCATGGCAAAACAACTCTAAACAAGTGTATGCAACATTCATGTTTCACGAGCATGTTTCGTATGTTTCGAAGCAGGGTTTCAGTTATTATTTACATGATTAGGCATGTATGATTAGGATGTTTGATGATGCATGATATGTATGATTTACAGTGGCTAAATGCTGGCATAACACCGGGGTGTTACAGCCCTTCCCCCTTATAAAAACTCGTCCCGAGATTTGGGTTACGAACCATTTGTTATAAAAATCTTCATAAGCTTTTTGTAGATATTCTCCCGTTTTCCAAGTTGCATCTCCCTCATCATGATGATTCCACTGTATCTTGTTTGTTTTCACCACACTATTCTGAGTAGCACGTTCTTTAGTGTCTAACACACGGACCGGTTGCTCACGATACACCAAATCTGATTTGAATTGGATGCCTCGAGGTTCTATTCTTTCCTCCGGAACACGGAAACATTTCTTGAGATGTGATACATGGAAAACTGGGAAGACGGTACTCATTGTCTCAGGTAATTCTAACTTATAAGCTACTGGACCTCTTTTTTCCAAAATCTTGTATGGTCCTACGAATCTAGCGGCAAGTTTTTTCCGGACTCCAAACCTTTTCTTCTTCATTGGCGTGACCTTCAGATAAACATAGTCACCAACTTCAAACACAAGAGGTCTCCTTATGTCTGCATAACTTTTCTGACATGATTGGGCCGCCTTCATATTTTGCTGAATAATATGAACTTTCTTCTCGGCTTCTTCTACAAAGTCAATGCCATAATACCTTCTATCTCTAGGCTCGACCCAATTCAATGGTGTTCTACATTTTCTGCCATACAAAGCTTCGAATGGAGCCATCTTGATGCTTTCTTGATAACTATTATTGTAAGCGAACTCAGCTAATGGTAACCATGA